TGGATTGGGATAAGAGAAGTAAAAGCCACCAATAAGAATATTTAAAAAATAAAAAGAAATGAAGGTAGAGACCACATGAAAAAGTCTCATAAGACCAATGATTTTTACATTGCAAAACTCTTTGTAAAAACTATATAAATACCAAACACTGAATAGCCACTGGGTAGAATGCACAGGAATCAAATTGAAAAATCCTGTAGTAAGAGATAACAGAGAAACTAAATATCATCAGTTACAAACAAGGCCAGGTAGAATGGATCATTAAATTGCTCAAGTTGAAGGTGAAGACAATTAAAACAAGCTCACTGGAGCCAAAATACAACCTGTGTATATCAATCTAAATTTAGAAAACATCTCAAGATGAGAATATCTCAAGAACAGAATTGATTCATGGAACACTAATGGCTAATGCCCAAATGGGCTGTTGTAGGACATCAATAAAATAATACAGGAAGAAAGCAAACGGTCATTAAAAAGACAGGAAATAAATAAAAAAAATTAAAGTGCATGACCGAAAAGATTCTGAAACTTTCTCTTGATTGTGGAATAGCTAAAGCAATTGGAAGAAAAGATGAAGTAAAGGGCTGAGCAGACAATTTCAAAGAACAGGCTGAGAAGACACAGTAGACTATTGTAATAAAATGTGCAAAGACTTAGATTTAGTAGGGTATAATGAAGAATTGAAAAAAAAAAATCAAGTCTGAAGTGGAAATACTGAAGGGTTACCTGGGCAAATATTGAGCACTGTGAGAAGCAACAAAAGAAGATGGAAGGAATGCACAGTCACTGTATCAAAAAATTTTGGGGGGTCATTATTCAACCACTTCCAGATGTAACATATGATAAAGAACCAATCGTAATGAAGAAATGAATCCAAGCCACATTGAAGGCACTTGTGAAAAACAAGGCTGCAAGAATTGACAGAATACCAATGGCAACTTTTCAAATAAAACAGAGGCAGCCTGACCATACTCATTAGTGTATGCCAAGAAGTTGGGATGACAGCTACAAGGCCAACCAAAAGAAATTGATCTGTATTTGTACCCATTTCAAAGAAAGCTTCCCAATAGAATCAGAAATTATCAAGCAATAGTATCACACGAAATTTGGCTGAAGATCATTTAGAAGTGTAAGTAGCAGTTCATGGACCAGGAAGTATAAGAAATTCAAGTTGGTTTCAAAAGAAGAAATGGAAAGAAGTATCATTTAAGACATCAGATGGATCTTGGCTGATAACAGAATATCACGAAGATGTTAACTTGTTTTTTATTGACGATATAAAGGCATTTACAGTGGGGGTCATAATCAATTATAGATAAAATTTTGAAGAATGAAAATTCCAGGAAACTTAATTGTATTCACACAGAACCTGTACACAGAAAGAAAGGGAGTTGTTCAAAAAAACAAGCAGTTATTGCATGATTTAAAATTAGTAAAAGGTATGCATCAGAGTGGTATTATTTCATCATACTTAATAAATCTATATACTAAACAATCTGAGAAAGTGGACTAATATGAAGAAAATCAGTAAGACTAAAGGACAGAGCTTTAACTATATGTAATATGCAAATAATATAAGCTTTCTTGATGAAACTCAAGAGGACTTGAAATCACTTATTGATGAAGATCAAATACCACAGCCCTCCATATTGATTGAAACTCAATGTAAAGAAAACAAAAATCCCCACCACTGAACCAATGACATCATCATGATAAACAGACAAAATAAAAGTTGTGGAAGATGTCATTTTACTTAGATCCACAAACAATACCCATAGAAGCATCATTCAAGCACTGTGCTCAGCAAATCAATTATACAACCCCAATTTAAAGTGTTAAAGAGCAAAGAAGACACTTTGAAGACTAATGTGTACCAGCTCAAACCATATCATGTGAAAGCTAGACATTGAATAAGGCACACTAGAGAAGAATTGATGCATTTGAATCGAGCGTTTGGATGAACATATTGAAAGTGATCATGTACTCCAGGACAACAAACAAATCAAGATGCTCCTAAGAACTGAGAGTGGCGAGGCTTCCTCTCATGTACTGTAGACATGTTATCCACAGAGACTGGTCCTTGGAGTGGAGCATCATACTTGGTAAAGTATCTTGTTAGTTAGAAAGACTCTTTACTACAAGGATTAATCTAATGCATGCAACGATAGGCTCAAGTCTAAAGACAGGTGTGAGGCTTGAGCAGGACCGACCCGTGTTCTCATGCAGTGTACACGGGGTCATTATGAGTTGAAGCCAACTTGATGGCAACTAACAACAGCAACATATTGGGAGAGAAACAATGCATTTGTTAAAGCCATCCCTGTGGCATTTTTGTTTTTGTAGCACCTGGAGCAGCAGAGTAAGGAGACCCAAGAACCAGTCAGGAACTGGATTACCTCCAGGAACTATAGTCTCCTTTGCCATTACATTAGACCAAAGTAGACCAAAGATGCTGCATAGCGACCATTATTTAATATTTTACTCAAGGATTCAACAGATGGATCCCAATAAAAAAATGCAGAAGTATGCAATAGAATTTTAAATTCTTAAGTGTAATTCAGACTTACTATATCTATTTAGAATGAATGACCTTTTGCCCTGAGATAACCCTTAAATCTTAAACCAAAACCGTTCCAATTAGCAAATAATGTTTGACTTAAGCATTATACTCTATATATCAAATAATCATATATATGAGATCCTATTGACAAGAACTCTAATTGTGTAGGGGCCATGATTCTAAATAACGGAAGCAAAATAATTTGAAAAGAGAGAGAGGATGATGATATATTGTGCAGAGTGCAGATACTGTCACTGAATTGTATGTAGAAATTGTTAAGTAGGTATATGTTTGACGATGTATTTCTACGGGAAAATTGGATAAAAAATGTCTTGCAGGCCTAAATGTAAAAGGTCTAGTATAGTTATTGCCTTTTAACTTGGAATCTACAGTTGACTAGAGAATTCTGTTATGATCTTAAAAATGAATAGTTTCTTAAAAACCATTTTAAGTAGACTAGTTTCAATTTATCCTCGTTACTGAAAAATAAAAAAGTACGGCCACAAACAACTATGCAGCAGCTCTACTTTGTCATGTACATGCTATCACCAGTCAGAATCAACTACTGCACAACACGGACGTATGTGTGCGGCAATTACTTCATGTGTGTCAGGAAAGAACTCTGCTCCATAGGTCTTCTAGGCCTTTTTTTCTTTCCAGAAATAGATTCTCAGGACTTTTGTGCGAGGCTCCTGAGGGGACTCCTACCCCAAACTTCCCAGCCAAGTACATTAGCCATTTGTACAATAAGAGACTCCACAAGAATCAACTAGATGACAAGTAGCTTTAGTTTTTGTTTTTAAAATACTTATGTGTTGACACACTGTGTTGACAATATGATCATCAGCCACCTTACACGATGTGAATCCAAAGATTTTTTTTTGTATTTATCACATTGTCCATGATCACATTCGGTATGAAGCATTTTTCCATGAAACTGCATGGACTGTATGATACATATCCAAGCAGGCATCTAATAACTTTCAATTATTTGATTTTTAATCAATTGGTTTTTATTCCTGTAGCTAGGAATACAGCCAGTAAAGAGGATATCAACGTATGCAAGGCTAAACACTCAAGCTTGACCTGAGTGTCTATAATCAAAATAACACACCAGCGTTCCATGGATCATGGCAGTGTAAACACTGATAGTTTTACCACACTGAAAGTACATATTTATTATAAACTATCCCTCAAACTCCATATGCAAAGGAAGAATTGCTTAAAAAATACTCACCATATCCGTATCTGAGACTGGTCCAAAACTGGTCACATAGATGTTAGTGAAGACTTCAGTAATACTATCTGATATAAGGAAAAAAATGTTAAATTTAGATATTACATACTGAGAGCCACAGGACAAAGAATTAGTCAGGTAATGGTATGGTTAGAAAGCTGTATGGTACTTACTAGTTTTATATTTTATTTTATTTTCAACTTTTACAACTAACGAAAAAAATATCTATACTGATTGGTTTTTTTCAGTAGTTTCTTATAGTTCTAAATATAAACTGTCCAGTAGGGTTATTACTTTTTTACTTAGAAAACATAGGTAATTAGAGAATTCTGTTATATTTCAGAAAATTACTAGTTGCTTAAAAACAAACTTAAGTTAGTTTAAATTTATCATCAATACCGAAAAATAAAAAAAGAGTGCAGTTATTATTTGACAGGGTCTTAAATTTCAATTCTAGACTAAATATTTCCAATGGCTCTTCGGGATGATTTGATTTTTAATCTAAATAGTTCCACTGATATTTCAGAATTATTTTGTAGATTGTTTATCAGTATATCTCCTCTACAAAGCAACAAAACAGATCTTTAATCTTTATAAATAGACATAATCCATACTATTCTAAAAAGATTTATCATTCAATGGAATAAAACATAAAAGCAAATAGCTTACATTAATCACAATGGAATAGTTTAAAAACAAGTTTGACTTTCAAAGTATTTAATAGTGTCAGCAGTGCTAAGAGTATAGTGAATTAGATTAAAAATGTCTAATTTATTAAGCATAACACATTTAACTGATTGCTCAATTAACTAGGTGATTTAGATATTTCTTTTTACAAAAAGATAATTGGTGGCAAAAAATTGTTCAAATGAAAGGTTTTAAAAACAAAACCTTTTCAATTTTCTCTTATAAGATAAACAATACATTATTAACTTCTATCATCATGAGTTGAATCCTTCATCTACTAACTGTCAAATTTAATTCTACACAAAAGATACCATGAAATATGTGTAACATTAAACTAAATATTAAATTCCAAACATGAAAGAGAATAAGCTACACCTACATAATGTATCTTCTGAAGTCAAACATAGAAATGTAAGGTTTTGGAAAAAAACAAAAAACCCAAAGCCAGCTATATAGGGTTTCCTAAACCTTAAATCTTTAGGGGACTAGATGGCCTCATCCTTTTCCTGAGGGGTGGGTGGTTGGCTTGAATCAATGACCTTGCATTGCAAAGCTTACCAGACAGTGCCACCATACCAAACTAAATAAACGTTGAGTGTTCACTATATACTAGATATAGTGCAGTGGTTAAAGAACTCTGATGGTCACTGAAACTTGGTGGATTGAAACTACCAGTCACTCGACAAGAGAATCACATGAATGTCTGCTTCCATAAGGATGCATGCTCTTGGAAAACCCATGGGGCAGTCCTAAGCTTCGTTACAAGAACCAAAAGCCAAACCCACTACCATGGAGTCGCTCAAAACCCATAGAAAGAGGCTCTATTTAGTGTTTTTGATACTGTAAATTTGAAGGGAGCAGACAGCTTCAGTTTCCTTCCTCAGAGCAATTGGTAGTTTTGAATGACTGACTTTATGGTACAATGCTTATATCACAGCATCTAACATAGCATGTTTGGTGAATTCTTTACATGACTTTAAATATGATACTATCCCGTTAAATTTACTATAAAGGAGTAAAGGGATACGGAGAAAAGTAAGGAAACGTGTTTAATGACACGCTCCTGGTAAGGGTTGGCATCCACACCTGGTTTAGAAATCACGTAATCTGGCTCTGAGTTCTCGGATGACCTACCCACAGAGGCACAGTGAACAAGGCAGGGAGTTGGAACTGGAAGCAGTTTTAAACTAGCTGCACATTCGGTTCACTGGCATACCTTGGGCACAGTTACAGTACTTCAGCTGACGATGCTTCATTTTATGCTTTCTAAATTATACTAGTAAAAGTGAGCCCTGCTCGTGGCTAACCACTCCTTTACCAACGAAAAGGTTGCTGATTTGAACACACCAGACAGTCTATACATGACAGCTATGGTGGGCTGCTTCCCCAAACAGAACGGACCTTGAAACCCCATGAGGCAATTCTAGTCTGCTCTATAGGGTGCCTAAGAGTCAGGGGCAACTCATAAACACAACAAAAACAAATATCATTCCAAAATTTTATTTATGAAATTATATTATGAAAGTAATCTGGGTACAGATTTTGTAAATTCTTAGCATCCGTGCATCCGTCTTTCCAAAAACCAGCCTCCTGTGTGTACCTAGCAGGTTCCCATACTTGACTTAATGTTCTGATTTTGCAGTCTACAGATTATGAATTTGAGCAACTGTCCTCGAATTTTCATTTTTCACTAACTTTCACAAATTATACAGCTAATCCTCGATGAGTATTGCATATGGTACTTAAAGACATTTTTTAATGAGAGCCAAACCAGTCATATCACATTTATTCAACGAACAAATGAATGAAATTTTGCTACTTTAGATCCTTGGGTAGCACAAGTTCAAAATCAATGACGAACCCGAAGATTAGCAGTTTGAACCAACCAATCTAGTGGCTCCATAGGAGAAAGTCCTGGCAGTCCACTTCTGTAAAGTTTCCAGCCAAGGAAACCTTACGGAACAGTTGTACTATGCAGCATGTGGAGCCTCCGTGAGTTAGAACAGATTCTTCAGCACCTGGCTAAGTTTCATTAGTGGTTTTACATATGAATTTAAAATATCCCAAAGAAACTCAGATCAAGAGAATCAGGGGCCACGTCTGTATCAGGAAAGGGGTTTACACTTCTGATGGTGGGTAAACTGGATGGGACACCTCACCATACAGAGAAATGATTAATATTAGTTATATATTTCCAGGGTAAATATGCCGGGTAACATGTTCCCAACTGGGCATTTGGACCTAGTTTCTAACTATCCCCTGGTGACCCAGGCAACGTACTATATAGACAACCAGAACATTAGAGGTGCACGGCTGCTTTTAAAGAGCAGAAAGATCTAAAGTGGAAATTCCACTAAGAGAACTGGATCTGTCTTAAGCTCTCTTTTAACAGAGGTTAGGAACTAAAAGACTTCCATAGACTGAAATTTGAAATGCTCTGGTGGGAGAAGAATCAGATGTCGGTCATCTCAAGGCGAGGGATTCGGTGGTCACGGGACTTTGGTTTGGCTTGGACCTATTGCATAGAGGTGCCCATGGAATGGCGACCCAAGAACAACAGATATTTGCTTTTTTACACTTTCTTTCTTGGCAACATGGGTTAGTCTACTTGGCACGTTTCAGTCTTTGTAAGTGAATGCTACTGGAAGTATTACCATATCTAACCCTCATGGCTTGTGTAACTATTGTCCAGTTACCAAAGCAGTCTAAGTTAATGTATGTATGATAGTCTAATAAGATGTATACATTCCTTTTCCCAACAGTGCCCTAAGTTCTACATCACTGACCAAAGTAATGTTTCTCTAACTAGTATTACCTTATGCTACATGGGAATGAGTTTTTATGTACTCCGATAAACTGATGATGTCTCTAAAGAGAGCCAGGATCATTTATAAACCATAGATAGATGACTGGATTTTGAGGTCTTACTTGATAAGAGCCCTAACATGAGAACTATTTATTCTTGTGAAATAACCCTGCTCAGTACTCACCCTCATGAAGATATATGCATTATAGAAAAGTGTGAAGAAATCTGATGTTGACCAGTTATCAGAAAAAATAGTGTCTGAAGTTTTAAAGGTTTGTCTTAAAACAAGCAGTCGTCTGAGGTGTCAGCTAAGCCCACACAGAAAAAGCACATCGGTCTGTGTGATCGAAAGATGATAAAGAATAAAATCGAAGGTCAACCTGAATGAGGGAACAATACAAGAGCCTGAAATCCAAACACTAGATTTGCAGAACACTCTGGATGAGAGTGGAAGCCCCAAATCCATGTGCAGAGCACCTCCATGGATTGAGTCTCCGGTGAGTCCCCACCAACCATAGTGTTGGAAGGTGAATATCCCTAACATCAGGCAGAGCATTCTGAAGTGGCTTTTAGCAGGTGCCACAGGATGGAATGCAGCACACTGTCTTTAGATCGTCTTTTTGAAATTATTCTAGTTGTAAATATTGTCTGTTTTCTCTTCAATTGAGGTTTTCTATGTTTAAGTTGGTCATTTCTGCTGAGTCTTTTTTGTTTTGTTTTTTTGTTTTGTCTTGGTTTTGTGTGTTTTCTGTATAGGGAAGTCAAGATGGGTGGATCCATGAAGATAACAGCCAGATTAGTAATCACCTGGGGGCATGGCGGGGACAGTTGGGTATGAACAGGGAGGTAGCAGCAATGTGTCCAGGAATGAAGAAAATATTCAAAGGTTGACTGCAGTGATGATTGCACAACATTTCTGAATATGAATGAACTATTAAATTGCATGACACATTAATTATAGCACTGTAAAATTATTTTTAAATGTCCCAAAGTAATTAAAATAAGATAGTTTACAAGAAGTAAATTATAAGTTGTCCTTAATCTAGAGTGTTCATTATTCTCCTTATACTGGAGTGATGTAAAACTAAATTGTTACTAAGGATATGGACATAGTGCTTGGTAAAGTGGAGGGGCAGAGAAATGAAGAAAGCCATTAAGTTGGATTGACAAAGTGGTTGCAACCATGAGTGCAAACAGAAGAAAACATTTGAGAACAATGCAGGCCTCGGTGTTGCTTTGTTGACTGTACAAAGGGTCACTATGAGTCGGACCAGAGTCAATGGCACCTACCAACAATAAAACTGATATCAAGAACATCCACTCTACTCCAGTAAACAGTACTGGAGGCTATTTTATCAATACCTGTGGTTATAGTTAAGAGTTAGCTAAAAAGTGGCTAAGGATTTACAGACAAAATTTAGGGTTAATTTCAATGCACTAAGCATTACAAGCAATACGTAGGGAGTAAAACATTGATATGCATGTTATCTTCAGAATGAAAACAGTTCCATGGTTTATTAACTTCATAAACAAAGCTAAAGAATTGTGGATTTGAAAGGGTAGCTGTCAACTTTG